CAAAGGCTGGTTAACAGAAGTGGGGAATTTACAGTGATTGGTGTAAAAAGTTTTCATTGATTAGTTAGTTACTACTTGTAAGGTTTGTAGATAAATTATTATTTGGTACCCATTGGACTTCACAGAATGGGTACAATGCAACCATACAATACTATTTTCTGTTCATGTAGCTTTCTTCTATACTGTGGTTTTTGAGAATGGGTTACATAGCTTGGTTACAAATAAACCTTTCTTAGATACTAGATTAAGTCTGCTAAAGGTTAACATCCTAGAGTTGTTGTTAAATTCTGTCAAGTCAATTCTGACTCATGGCATTCTAGTATAGAATTTCCAAGGAATGACTACTGGATTTGAACTGCCATCCTTGTGCTAAGCAGTCCAGTGTTTATCCACAGTGCTACACCGGAACAGGCTTTTAAAAGTGGAGTTTGAGCTCAGACCTGGAAGTGACCATCCTTTAATCATGTCAAGTACCCAAGATAGTTAATTTTAGGGTGTTCCTTCTCAAACTTAAACTATAAACAATTTTGGGGAGTATTGTTCTTTTAATTGATTGTTTCATATTTTCTTCTACTATATTTAAAACATCTAAATAATCATAGTTATTATTATATAGCTATTAATATTTTAATAACACTGTCACCAATTATGAGATGATAAGTAAACTATTCTTTTCAAATATATTCTCCCCTAAAAACAAAACAAACAAAAAAACAAAACTGCTTTTTTAGACAAAAGAATGTCTCAGTGATTTCCTTTGCAAAACCTTGCTCATATCTTGTGTTTCTTTCACTTCCTAATTTTCATGCTGCTTTGATTTTCTTATAGCCACCTCTCTTTTAAACTGATTTATTGAAACCTTTAAAGTAGTTTGTTCAGGAAAAGCTAAAGTGTACATTAGGGAACATTGGAAAATGACTGTGTTGCTTGGGAACACTCATGTACTTTCAGTACTTCTCACAAGATTTATAGTTAGGATTTAGCAAATGTTTGATCATTTACTTTTTTTTACTCCTCACTATTCATGGTTTCATGTAATGTACTGGTTTCCATAAAGTTGCCAATGACTCAGTTTTTGAGCTACACTGATAAAACATCTGTAATGAATGACTAGACTAAGAATGAGTCAGAAAATAATTATTACTTGTTTCATTTTCAAAACGATGTTCTCAGTGAGCAGGATTGAATATAGTTTTACCAAAAGTCACAGGCAATTGTTGAAAATATGTAAGAGGGAGGAACAAACAAGATGACGAATTGGGTAGAAGTGCAGTAAAGGAGCTCTGCCAACAACAACACAGAATACCAGACCAAGCAGGCTCAGGGGCTGGTCCCAGAACTCTGAACCACATATAAAGGAA